ATTTTTAAATATCAAAACCAATTTTTTTAAGTTGCATTTTAAATATTAATTTATAATTTTTTTCTCATTTCGACATAAAAAAAAAAGAATCAATATATAAGAATACTATAAAAATCACATTTTTAATTTACAGCTGCAATTAAATTATATTTCAACTTTAATCAGATGAATTATTCAAACGGAATATTGCAATCGGCTGTAATAGAAAAATGTATAATAAAATAGCCCTAAACTCATTTGTAATAATATATGTGCATATGTATCAACTTACAACTGTTTTAGCCAGCAAAACAATTGAAATAGCCTGGGCTTTCATACATGTACATACATATACATATTACATATGTATGCATTTAAGTGGATAACTGATTTCGATGCCAATACATTTGCCAGCAAATCCAAACGAGAGCGCACAGAATTTAACTACACATTCATATATTATATAGAAGTATTGCAACAGTGGAAACATCATCGGTTGAGTTCAACTTCGGTCAGTCGCTGTTTGGCTTGGCACTCGAACGGCACGCAGCGCACAGCTACGGCGCACACAGCTATGCACGCACAGCAGCAACAGGGCACACAGGAGCAGTCCTCGGAGGAGACGGCGCTCTGGACAGCGCTGCAGGGGCGGCCAGGCAGCCACGGCAATGGCCATGGCCATGGCCATGACCATCGTGGCATCAACAATCACTCGTTTAGCGCTTCGGCAACATCCACGATGACCATGCCGCAGAACATCTTTACAAATCCAGCCATACAGCCCTCCAGTGTGATCAATCTGTCCAACTCCACAGATGTGGTCATTGGGCCCATGACCCAGTACCAAGGACCGGTCAGCATATATTATATGGATGCCAGCATGCAGACCGCTGCAGGTGAGTCACGAGTCGCGACAATCAACTGAATAAATGCTCTAATCACTGGCTGGAAAATTTTTCATTGGCATTGAGCTCATTTCAATACATGTAAATATTGTGGAAATTCCAAAAAGCTTTTGCTTTGCTTTGTTGTCGCTGCGAATGTATACAGAGATATAAACAACCCACAACAAATAAATATGGGAGGATCTGTAGAAAGCTTTGTGCATGAGCGTAGCTTAGCTCAGTTAAAGGAGGCGTCATGCTCGAATGTCAAAATGTTTCATTATCTACTCTTAGCGAATACACATACATATTCTCTATACAAAGATTTCCACTTTAAAACATCGCACACTTTTATGATATTTAATTCAGATTTTTGATACTTCGAATTTGGAATGGAATACCTTGCACAGCTCTTCGACAGCTGTGTTGAATCTAGTTTTTTGCGAGGTCCCTTATCAAGCTAATCTAAAGTAATGAACCCCATTTATCTAGAGTGGAAAGTAAATGCATGAAAAGCGACAGGTAGTCAAGTAGCGGGGCATAGACAACCTTTCCGTTTGTCCGATTCCAGGTAAACCAGCTGCACAAACACGATCAGAGCACCAGCACTAATACTACGACAAAGTGGCCTCATCAAAGCTACTAATACCAGCAAACGGCCAACGGCCAACGGCAAACAGCAGGAGCGCATTCATTTCGTATGCGCGGCGCAGTGCATTGCGCATACGTCATGTTGTCTGGCGACGCGCGCCGCAATTAAAACAAACACAGATATTGCAAAAAAGTACGAAAAACAAAAGAGAACGAGCAATGAGAGACGTGAAACAAAAGTGCAAAATAAGCAAACGAAATATACATATGAAAGAGTGTAAGCGATATGGCAAATCCGGAAAGCAACAACAACAACAAGCGTAACAAAGCCCGGCAAAGCATGACGCAGCGACGCCGACATCGACGTCGCTGTCGTCGTCATAGCACCTGACCCAGCCACTCCCCTGCGCTACCAAACGATACATGTCAACCAAGCCGCGCAGGGCAAGAAGTGCCCAGCACACAAACAATGCCGTTCGAGCTGCCAGCGACGCGTCGCGACTTCGTCGCCAATCGACGCGGCGCGCCACTGCGCAGCGCTTTGTCAGTCGTTTCAGTGACGGGTTCAGGTGCGGCAGTTGCGCGCGCCATCGGCCAGCGCTCGTTAAACGGTCAGAGGCGGCCACGCTACGTGCCACGCTCTTCAGTACGCGCGGCACAGCTCATCCAGATTTCCGCAAAGTGCCTCAGCTCGTCGTCCAATCATTGATTAGGCAGCACACAGCTCGCATGATTCAACCGTTAGTCACAACGCAAAGAAATTGAACTAAATTCATCTAGCGAGCAAGTTTCTAAAAGTAAAACTCTACTTGTGTGTGTGCGTGTGTATCTGTGTTTGTTGATAAGCAGCGCGCGCTTGTGTGTGTGTGTGTGTGTGTGTTTGCATACATATATTTACTGGCCGTTGTTATACAAGCACTAAACGTTATAATTAGCGGCCGTCGTCATGAAGCTGCTGCTGAAAGTACATTCCGAGGCGCGTCATCGTCGGACGCCCGAGCGCAACTACACAGCGCCCCCAGCGCCAAGTAGGTGTACTAGCCACAGCTAGAGTGGCACCCTTAACGATGCAGTCAAGCATTTCTATCATTCTCACCCTTGCGATGATCATCGTTTGCAGGAATCAGCAGCAACAGCCGCAACAGCAGCAACAACAGCAACAACAGCTCGACCAGCAGCGAGGGGGCTGCGCCGAAGCGTAGGCGTGGCAGCTCGAAGGCTCGCCGCTTCACACGCAACTCCATACTGCTGAGCCTGCTCGTCGTCCTGGTGGTGGCCATGGCCCTTGTCATCGTGTTCTTGGAGCTGAGCCGCACGCGCAACGAGCTGGGCCAGAAGTCGATCTACTTTGGCAACACCTTCGAGGACGGCACGTGTAAGTGGGCAAGCAATGCGGCCGCCATAGCCTATTCACAAGTTGTACAGTTCCGAATTTAGGAAACGGTCATCTGGTCATCGAGCGTGTGCAGTGGGGCGCCTCCGATCGCAGCAAGCCACTGAAGATACCGCTTCAGCACCCCATTCCCTACGTGCTGATCACGCACGTGGGCGTCCAGTCCACACCCTGCGTCAATCTCTACAAGTGCTCCATCAAAATGCGCACCATACAGGACTCGGCGATAGCGGAGAAGAGCCTGCCGGATATACAGTCCAACTTTTACGTAAGCACACCCACAATTGCACACAAATTCCCTGCACGTTCATCCGGCTAACACACTTAGTTTCTTTTCTCTCTCTCTCTCTCTCCCTCTCTCTCTCGCACTATTTTTTTTGGACATTTCGCTTTCCGCTCGCTGCTTACGCAAATTGTATTGACTCGAGCACAGGTCTCCGATGAGGGCAACATATATGTGGGTCGCGGCTGGGACTGGGCCAACACGTATGCGAATCACACACTCGCCATCACATTTATGGGCGACTATGGCCGCTATGTGCCCACACCCAAGCAGCTGGAGGGCGTGCAGTTCCTGCTGGCCCATGCCGTGGCCAATCGCAAAGTGGATTTAGACTACAAGCTGGTCGCACAAAATCAGGTGAGTTTGTCTAGCTCGCTGGCAAGCAGGTCGCCAGCCCAAGTTCAATAAAATTAAAGTGCAGCTAAGCGTTTCGTGCCCTGCCTGAGAATTCTATAAACAAAAATTCAAGTGAGCCATTGAGCCCAGATAGGCCATATCAATACAAAGCACAGCTGTTTGCCAGCTGGAATGCAAGGTTGAGTTAGCTCGAAGCGCTTCAGTATAATTCTTAATGCGCTTAGTCCATAAATGTTTCGCATTATTTCAATTGGAGTGCAATTTATAGAAAGATAGCTTGAGGCTATGAATCATGAATCATAGAAATTTCATATACGTAACAAATTTTGAAACGAAATTAATTATATATTTAATAAACAATATTTATAGAAAAAAGAATGTATTTATTAAATTAATTTAATTTAATTATTATTTATTTTTTAAT